AGCGGTTTTATTTTGTGACATAGGTGTGCTGAAAAGGTCTTGTGATTGATCAGTTAAACCACTTAAATCAATAGGGATTTCGGATAGCGGCGAATAACGCGGGGACTCAACTGTGAACTCAAGTGAGGGAGATGATGGAAATGGGGCAGACTCCGTAAGCTCGGACTGTGGCTTTGGAGTACACACTGTTACATTGGCATAGACGTGGGGGAAGGGTTTGTGGGGTGGAGGGGGTAGGGGAGGCGATGGTGAAGCAATGGAAGGGGAAGGAGGGGTTCGTACCCTCTCTTCAACAATCGAACAATTTTGTTCAACAATTTCGATTTCATTTCCATCATTATGCTTTTTAGAGCTTGGTTTACATTTATTTTCGTCATTCAACTGGTTATTGTTTTGTTCTTCTCTATGAACAGGTGATTTAGAGCGCGTGCGCTTTTTGCTCATATTTTTTGATGAATCTGTATCCATTTCAGTTTCAAGTTCAATGTTATCTATTGTACCATCGGTCTCATGATTGTTTATCTCAGTATCTGGTGCTTGGGTGTTAATTATATCAGTTATGTCTTTGTCGTGCAATGTGTCAGGAGAATTTAAATTAGTTATTACATTCACTTGTTGAGAGTCTGTTGGAGAACTATTTTGAACACTCTTGTTTTCATCATTTGTCATTTGCATATTCATTGTTTTAGAGTTTGGGCATGTTTTACGTGTATGTCCCTTCATGTTACATGAAAAACAATGTTCGTCAGACGAAACGTAATATTATATGTCTGACCTTGAAAAGTAATAGGTAATAAACCGTTAATATTGAGATCTTTTAAATAAACATAAACTTGGCGACGAAAAGACTTTACGTGTTTTAGTGCTGGTCTTTTGCACCCGAGTGGGATCGTTCGCACCGCGCTCATTACACGCCCGTATTTAGCTAATGCGTCTGTAATAGAATTGTCAGGTAAAAAAGGGGGAACGTTTGAAAGAACAATTTTTGTTGAGGGGCGGACAAGAGGTTCAACAGAACATGGAGGTCTCCAATGTCAAGGCCAGCGGCAGAAACCATGTCGACCCATGTGACCTTATTTAAAAATACAATAACTGACCGGTTCATTCGGGATGCTGCTACAATATTACTGGCCCCGACTAAATCCGCAACCGACTCCACATAAGTCTCTACTGGAATGCCTTCAATGTTTTCACATCGTACCGCATGGTTTCTAGTGTGGTGATCTGTTGGTGTTGACGGTGGCCTTGTGTGAGCGGCAGCCATTTTGGTTGCCGACCACCTTGCCAAGGCAAAGGCAAAAACCACAATAATAACAAAAACAACAACTATACATTACTCACTTTATAGACAACTGTTAGTACGCTTCGTTCTTCCAATGAGTACTTTCTTTGCACCACCAAATATAAACATTCGAATCACTTGTCCATCTGACATGCGTCAAATCACTGCTGTCAACTTATTTAGAAAAAGATACATTTATTCACCAAAGCCTACAGCGTGGAATACCCCCCCCCCCACATCGCATTTGAATAAATACGAAAAAACGTTAAACAGAATAAATACAAACTCAGCATTTATTATACATATAATACTGGCCGTTCATATATCAACATGTTGATTCATATCTTAGGTCAATAGTCATCGGAATAAAAAAAATATTGAAAAGTGAAATGAATTCTAAACGAAAACAAATTTGACAATGGAAACAAAAACTGAATTTTAAAGTAAAAATGAAAATGCCTTGAAAAATAAAAATGAATTTTAAAATAAAATGAAGAGGAATTTTAAAGTAAACATTACTTTTAAAACGAAAATGAAGTTGAACATCAAAACGAGTTTTTTTGTAAATAAAGAAATATATTGATAGTTGCCCAAAATACCAATGCCTGGCTTGACATTTTTGTCTATTCAAACATTTATGCAGGTATTGACGTCACAATGAAATCCCTGGTCGCCATGTTATGCTTAATGTTATTGATATCCGTTATATTATTGGAACCATGTGAAGCTGCCGCTAGAGGTCATGGGAATGTTCAACATTCGAAAAATCACGTGAAGTATGTAAATATTTTATCAAGTGGACATATATGACAGTTTAGTATTGCATTGATTTTTTTTATTTTCATATAACAGTGTTCAACATTTGAACAATCGCCCATCTGGTCTGCGAAAGTGTTTATCTATCTTAGATGACAATGGCCGCTAAGATCTCGTCTGCATACATGTATGCGGAATGTCGGAAAAAAGACAACAGTAAATATCAAGAGGTCCATAACAAGCTGAAGATTGGGGGCGTGCATGACACGATTGCTCTACAGACGACTGACATTGTTGTCCTAGTTAGATAACGCGGTTTTCGTTTTAGTGAGTGTTTAATAAACATGCTATCGATTGCGTGATATGAAAATGGTGTACTTTTATTTGCGATGCAATTTCTGAAATTTCCAGGTACTGTTGTCCTAGTTAGATAACGCGGTTTTCGTTCTAGTGAGTGTTTAATAAACATGCTATCGATTGCGTGATATGAAAATGGTGTACTTTTATTGACTTTTACTTGCGATGCAATTTGGGGTTGCACATTTGTGTTTCACTTAATTGCTCTTCTGTGTCGATAAATATTCAAAATATCCAAAAATAGGACACCTAATGTATAAAAAATGACTAAATTACAATTGCAAAAACAAAAAAAAGACACTAAAAGATATATATATATATATATATATGCCACGATGACAAGAGTGATTGAGGATAAATCAATTACTGCTGCTCTCCAATTCCCCAGGAGTTCTAGGTGGCCATTTAGGGTCTAAGGTTTATCAGATTGCGGGAATAATGCCTTAATTATGGTAATGTGTTTCTATTTTTTCAGGACTCCAAGACGTGATCCTTTCCACAAAAGGCGTATTACAGAAAATTCACGACCACATTTTTGATATCCATTGGCATGACAGTGGAGGGTGAAGGTGAACCGTCTGGCGTTTTGGTAGTACAATAATAAATAATATACATCAAAGAGATCCATATGAGATTGCTTGTTTCTCTTTATTGGGAATTGTTACTGATCTAAATGAAAATTACTTAGTAGGCATCACTTGTTAAAAATCAACTCGCCCATGTGTAAGAACTCATTTCACCAGGGCAGAGGGCCCAACAAACCCAAATCTAGCCAAGTCATCGATGTCTGACTGATGTACCAATCAACTACTCATTGATAATCTCCACGCCAAGCCATCAGTTTGTTTTGCTGATCGTCGCCATTTCACAGGCGCTTTGGTATTAGACAATGATTGCATTTTATTCAAATAAACTTGATAATCACCTCCCTTTTATTACCAATAGTAAGCAAGACATGAATACTAGAAAGCCTGCAATATTCAGCCCAGGGAAGAGATACTTCACCCATGGGGTTAGAACATTTCATATAATTGATAAATGTCAACCCAGGTGAGTCGGACTTGAAACAAATAGAACAGCAACGAAGGATCTCCACTCCTGTCTTTTTTTAGCTATTTTCTGGACATCTCCTTGATGAAGTTCATTGCTTTGCTATCGTCCAATGCCAGGCAAGTAGTATTTGGCTGTCCTCTTTTTTTCCATCTGCTATTCAGTGCTACTTTCGGGAGGCTGCTTGGTTTTTTCTCATCACATACCCGTTGTGTGCTACCTATCATGTCTCAATGTGCTCCTATGTTCAGATTATTTTCATCCATTTGGATTGGCAATAGTGTGCAACATTTAACTTAGCGTAAAGCAAATTTGCTGAGCAAAGTTACTGAGAAGTGATGTTTTCGTTTGCAAGGCCCAAATCATCGGCAAAAACAAGATCTTTAATGCTGAGAAGAAGGTCCATCATATGCCTCTTTTTTTGTCCCCTGTTGTCCGGTGCATTAATTAGTCAATCACATCACATCAGTCAATCACACCAGTCAATCAATCACATCACCTCTTAGCTTGTGCCTTGAGGTCCATGTATCTCTCTCACCGATTTGACAGTGTGTTTGTTTTGTTTGTGTGTCCCCTGTGTATTCTCGGATTTGTAAATATTGCCTTTTGACATTGATTGTTTGGATTATAGTTGGGTATTGTTGCTTGGATTTTCAATAGGGATGTCAAAGTGTAATGCCCACATGACACACTCTTATTTTGCTTCAGTTTTCACATTGAACGATGGCTACTCGTTTCATTTGATGTTCGTGTGTCGCATACGTATACACATACACAGAGATAACACATGTCGATACATATTTACATGGTAATAATAACATGGTTCCAATAGGGCTGACACATCGGGTATAAGATAAATGCTGCCATTACACAAATACCAGCATTAAACAATGCTCAAAATTTGAGGCCATATATGACAATGATAACATTTATTATATATGGATAGAAACAAAATATGACTTGCATTGTGTGAGAAGTGTAAAATAAACGACATTCATTCCATTTTTGTGCGTATTTTTATTCGGGAATTTTTGGTCTTGGTAGGTTAAATTCCCATTCCTGCATTCGTATTGTAAAGAACACTGAAGAGCTTAGCTTGTATGAAAATGTATGTATTGTATTTCATTATGTTAAAATGTACAGACTATAAATTTGCATGTGCCACTATGTTTGTAATACTAGGAGGGAGGTGTGGTGTCCATGTTTTATAACATTAACTCATATGTGTTGATGTTTTCAATACATCGCTGTATTTTTTTGAGAAATGAATTATTTTAGTTTCTTCTCTCCAATTAATAATCAAAGAAAGCTTAGAAAGAACTCCCGTGTGCTGAGAGTATTGAAGACACATTAAAAATTAATTAAAAATTACTTGTACCTGAGATATTGATGGAATAGCTGAAAACTAATTATGTAAATCAGGTAACTGATATGAACAGATTTTATTGTAAAACTAATAAGGCCTGCGTAATGTAATATCTATGTACCAAGTTTCATTGAAATGTGATTAGAACAAAAAAATATGAATTATTACTAGAGAATTAATATGAACAAATTTCAATCCAAAATTAATCGGGCCTATCTATTGTTCTAGAACATGTACCAAATTTTATTCAAATGTGATGATCAGTAATTGAGATATCAGTGTTAATTAATTATTTTAATTAGGTGATTAATAAGCATAAATATTTACCAAAAACTACTTGGGTCTCTGCATAGTCCTAGGTTCATTGAAATGTGATAATGAACATTCTATAAAAGTTTCAATAAAATCCAATTAGTTGTTCTTTATATATCAGTGGAACATTCATGGAAAAAAATAACTAATTATGCGAATTAGGTAATTAATATACACAATTATACCCTAAAACTAATCAGGTCTCTGCATAGTCCTAGAGGATCTATGTAGCAAGTCTCATTGAAATATGATGATCAGTACTTGAGCTATCAGACGAAAAGCTGAAAATTAACTAATTATGCTAATAAGGTGATTAATATGCACAAATATTTACCCCAAAACTAATCAGATCTCTGCACAGTCTTTAAGTAACTATGTACCAAGTTTCATTGAAATGTCATAAGTACTTGAAATATCAAAAGCTGAAAATTAATTAGTATGTACTGATATTACCCTAAAAACTATCAGGTCTGTGCAGTGTTCTATGATATCTATGTACCAAATTTTATTGAAATGTGATGATTAGTACTTGAGATATCAGTGGAAAAGCCAAAAATTGATTAATCGTTATGCAAATTAGGTAATTAATATTGCATAGATTTTTACCCAAAACTAAATCTGCGCATTAGTTCAAAGCATCTATGTGCCAAGTTTCATCAAAATCTAATGAGTGGTTCTTTAGATATCAGTGGAACAATCATGGAACAGCTAAATATCAGCTAATTATCATGCAAATTAGGTAATTAATATGCATGGATTACTAAAACCTAATCAAATCTGCGCATTGGCCCAGAGCATCTATGCATCAAGTTTCATCAAAAATCAATGTATGGTTCTTGAGATATCAGTGGAACGAACACACACACACACACAGACACACACACAAACAGACACACGGACAGACACACTAACTGCAAAGACTCCCCTTTTGTGCTTCGCACACGGGAGTCAAAAACAGTGGATGTGATAAAGCTTAATGTGTATGTATGCATGTGTCCAATAATAGTAACAAGGCGGACTATTTGTGGATAGTTCAGATTAAATTGAAATTTAATCCGGTTGTTGTTCGTGAATGGAAAATATATAAAGCTGCAGGTAAAATTCACAAATAAATAATCTTATGATCAGAGAAAACTGTTATATAGGCGTTGTTTATTCGTGAAATAGCAACCGATGAATAGTCTAGTAGACTTAATCGCGGTAAAACATCTGAGCACTAACATTTTAAATCGCTACACAACAATCACCTTTTCATCTATTCTAAATATTCTAAATAAAGTGATGTATCGTGATATAAATTATTTTGATAAATTTGTATTGTTTGTGCGGTTCAAATGTATAACGTTTCCGGGAACACAATAAAATGTCAGTGTCCTGGTACTCATACTGGTACACATAATAACTGTTTGTGTTCAGGGTAAGTAATTGGTACACTATAGTAAATAAATAAACAAGTAATAAGGCTTCATAACTTGATATCCAGATACCAGGGAACACGCGTACATAATAAACATTCATGTGTCAGCACTTGGGTACAGGGCAAGGGAATGCCACAAGTCATTGAAACTAGAGACACAATGGTCTCTGGATGGCTGAACACATCAATATTATAGCAACAATCATCAATGGTAAGATATATTGTCATTAAAATCACTACGTATAGTTCAGTTGGCCACTGCAGGCATCGCATCCAGTTGAAACAGAGGGAAATAGCACTTTTACAGCATTCAGAATCAAAAGTCACGTTGGTTTAGGTCAAGTTAGGGGGTCGATTTCTGGGTCAAAGTCACAGGTCACTGTTGGATATGCGTGTGCTCTACACATTGTCGTGGGCATTTACACTTACCAGAATATTTAATTATCACTATAAAACCACATGTTTCGATGTAGGCCCATGTACTATGTATAACCCTATACTTTAACATGGGCAAACATTTCTGTGAGTGTCGTTTTTGTTTCCAGTCTCGTGTATTACAACGCATATGCAATACTAGAGTCAGAGCGAGGTCACACAGAGCATCAGCACAGTTCGGGATATGATAAAGTCAACACGCGTCCAATGTATACACGCGATAAAATGGTAATAAGAAGCTCGAACATGAGGTCTATGCAAATGAGCATGATGCACGGTTTTCCCGCGATTAAACGTGGAAGTGTTATTTCACAAATTGCTCACAATTCTCTAATGGACTGTCAGACTTCGCTTATTTTCATGTATATCTTCCTAACACTTTGTATAGTAAGGCAAAAATTAGCTACGTCGCATAGGCACTGTAAATACACAATCAGTCGACGTAGCAAGGTTACATCCCAGAAGGACCAATTTTTATGATTAAATCCTGCGAGAATTAGTTATTAAGTCACTGACATCGGAATGTACTCACTGTTCTTATTTTGTGTTGATTCAATGTCCGCCGTTCATATCGCTTATGCTCATCGAGATAAACAGGTAGTAGATTCAGCAAAATAAGTAGTGACAGTTGGTTGGAAAATAGTAAATGTAGATTAGAAAGCCGAGAAATTAAGTTGAAAAGTCATAAAGTTGTTAATGGTTAAGCAAAAGAAGCTGAAAAAGTTGGTCTGAAAGTAGTGAATTTTGGTTTGAAAGTCATTAAGTTAAGTAGAATTTGTTTTCAAAGTTAGTTTGAAAAGTGCAAATACATGTTGCATACGTTCAATCATAGGTTGGAAAGTCGATTGTAGTTAAGCAGCATCACCATTATTTCGAACCAACGATTTCCACATAGAAAAGCTGTGTCTGCACGCATGGCCACGTACATGCACCAGGTGCGATATTTACAAGTCTTGTGGTGTTACTTAGATAAAGTATGGCAACTTGGACATTATCACAAGTCAACAGTCTGTTTAAGGTCTTGGTTCTAGGCGCCATCCTCGAAAAGAAAAAAATATTGGTTTGAAGGCCATAAATATAATTTGACATGTCGGCTGAACAGTCGTAATAGATGGTCGTAATGGTAAAATTCAAAGTAGGTTGGAAAGTAGTAACAGTATTAACAACTAGTTTTATGGAAAGTATAAAAAATGTAAATGAAATGTCACAGGTTGAAATGTTGGTTGGATTGTCGTGAAATATCGCATTAAAGCAGTAACAACTGGTTAGAAAGTCAAACTTGGAAAAGCGCAATCACATATATGTAATAATATCAATGGCGAAGGTTATCATGACATGAACAAAGACATACGGGTTAAGGTAGAAGATAGAACACCCATCACAGAAGAACCTTCCACGCTTGAGAAGAGAGAACACTTGCAGCTGACGTTCCTATGGCGGAAGAGGACTTGGATATCAACACGGGAGACATCGCAGTAGATAAGATCAAGGAAGCCATTCTCAAGCCCCAAAAGATGGCATATGCCACGAGATGTTGAAGACAGAAACGTGAGATGCCACTTATTCTCTAATGTATCCTGCAGAATATATGGAACCAGGAGACAACCTTATTTGACTGGAGAACTGGTATCATCATCAAATTGCCAAAGAAATGAAACCTAGGAGATGGAGATGACTAAGATATATGTGCCACCCAGCTCACTTCCCAAAACGGCCCCATGCTGCCCCCAAGTAAAAGAAAACGGGTACAACCAAAAGAAACCTGGCACAGGATAATAGAGCGGGAGCTAGAAGACACAGACAGACAATTAGAGACAGACAGGTGGTGATCTCTTGTTTTCGACTCAAGCGCCAGTCAGCATGAAGAGGAAATTGAATGAATAAATGTATCAAGCGTAGATATGCAAGTTACATTACGTTTATGATTTTTTAAAATACTTCCACAGCTTCATAAGTATTTATAAGCTAGTGCAGATAAACACAGTCAGGAATGCTCATTATATTTTCACAAAATACTTAACATTATATATATATATATTTGTATGTACATAAATTAGTAGCCTCAACTTGCATACCAATATGTTACCTTAGAATAAGTCACACGGTACATATAATTAATAGCCACTGAAGTAGATTCTTCTATAAATTGTATATATAAATATAATTATACTATAATAATCACATATTTTATGTAAACCCACGTATATGAGAAATTACATACATATGTAATTGCAGAGCAATAGTGTGTAATTGATTTGATTTGAAACCCAATCGTACAAATTAAAAACAGTTGATATCATTTTACCTTCATGTAGATCATTCTCAAAAGCGCTTTCTACCACGACATCTGTAACATGATCACTCGTGAGTGTGCATATGCACTCGCATTACGAGACACATCCATGCAATGACATCAGAGGCTATGAATATAGTAATTGAATAGTCTAACTACGCCCTCTTAGTTGTACTACTACGAATGTTCCCGCCCAAAATTGTGTTGCAACATGTTACAATTTATTTTATAATTTCTTTGTTAATTTTTTACCAAATTGATTTAATATTCGGCTTACCTAGCTTGTTGGACATTAAAAAAAATACTGAAAACAAAATTGCCAGGTTGCGAAATTCCGACTTTGGCGTTTGAAGAATAAACTCATAGAATGTGCTACGTTTCATATAAGCAGTCTCTTTTGATTGGGTGTTGACGATGTAGTTGTCATCCGCTGTCGGATTTGCATTTGTCAGCATTTGGTTGGATGGCATTTATAGTTTTCGCAGTTAGCCAGTATGTTGTACAGCGACCTTTGCCCTGCAATGAAGAAGGTCATCATTATTATTCATTCTATTGTCATCGCCTGCTGCTGCCCTCTGGGGGATTAATTTAGAAAACTGATAACCGTCAGCCATTGTTATTCACTTCACTTCCCAGCATTTACTATGTGTTCTTACTACTTATAAATAGGCAAGAGTCTAATGTCACGAACCCAGCGTACACATTCAGACAGTTATTGCGAATCAAATGCTGGACATATGTATTTATAAATTAACCAATGGTGGTCATTTGCGTCCAAGGTATACATCTTTTCATGTTAACCGTTCCTTTTTTTGGGTGTGATTAAACCATTTTTTCAATTATTTTTATTTATCTAATTGTAATTGTCTGATCAGGAAAGTCCAATAATCTGAAAAACCTCTACAGGTAATTTCGTTCAGCTCTCGCAAACTTTAATAACCAATCAGAGAAGCATGTTTATACAGCCATGGTTGGATATTGACGATTGCACACAAATGCAACAACCGCTGTGTACGAGGCTATTTCTGATTGGTCGACTAATCGAACGAGAACTTCACAAACTTATAAAATGAAAGTAAGAAACTATTTAAAAAAAGGATGACTAAAATAAAGAAGAAAAAAGAAAAATGATCAATTAAAAGAATGCAAAGAAAAGCCCAATAGAATCTGATTTTAATCCGAATCTGGGAATTGCGTAGTTACAAAAAACATTAAACCAACGTACCTCTATGTCAACCTTGCCTCTCTGCTCTGTTATGTAACCACCGAGCATATCTAGAGCTGCTTTGCAGTCAGAACTAATATGAATATGATTAGCTGTAATAAGAGGGTTGAACTAATTACACATTCACGAATGAATATGTTACTGTAAGATTTAAAAACCACACACGCCCACAAATCGTGGTAATCAGCTTTAGTCAAAGACGGTCACTGAGAAATCATACCTATAAGTCGCGCCCTCTACTGTGACGTGAAAATACGTACATCATCAAAAGCATTGTCGTTTAAAACGACTCGGGTATCTGGTTAAGTAGTCATTCGTCATTTAGAATATAATGGATCTGTCAAAATTTCGACATTACACGACAGACGAAAACAAAATAGACACTGTAAACGGCCATACTTTCACACATTTACGGCGCGGGAACTTCTCGGATATAGTGGCTGATCCAAGATGAAATATTGAAACCACAGGTCGAGACATTGTATTGCCAACACGTCCTTATACCACATAGGGGTTCGAATACGTAGGTTTTATTTTAATTGAGATCATCCGCCTACACATTTAGGGAAGTCTTATACTTTTGATGATATCAACGAACTATATGTTATCAATTATATACGTACATATTATTATTGTGTAGCTGTTAGTGTACAAAGAGTGTCACACGTCAAACACCGAACATAGTTTTCGTGACAATGCATGTACCGTCAGACAGTATGTGTCCCAACGGTTTACATCTTTTCATTTCAGATGGCGTAATTTGAAACGTAAAGCTATTTTGAAACATGCCAGTATATGGCTTCAATTTACAAATACATGTGTCGAAGACCATCGAATGTTAAATTGTAAAAAGCAGACGAAAAAACCAAGCCAAATAGAATAACGTTTCACAAAATTTTTAAATCACGTTCTTTTATTTAACAAGGAAATGCATAGAAATTTGCAACGGGTTGCAACAACAGTTGGGTGGGTGAGGTTCTAAAATTTTGAAAAGAGTTACAATGTGCACGAAAATGCGATAGCATGACGTCATATCATGATATTCAATTTTCAATATGCATTTTATACTTTTGAACTGTTTTTGCAATCAATGACGTCAGCGTGACAGTATTTAAAAACGATACCATTTATTGCTTCTTTTACGGCACATGAATTGTTTTATTATCACTGCCGTCGTAAACATAGTGGTTGTGACGTAAGCGGTTGTTGTGAAATGTAAAATTGCGATGACGGGCGGAAGAACATCATTTTCCCGTTTTAAAATTAACGCCTCTGACGTCATTATATAACGATATCGGTATAAATAATGCATATTGCGCTGAAATTCTGGAGCACGATACACATACTTGAGAGAAAACTGCAACGCCCACAATAAGTCTCAGACAAAAATTGCAGGTTTCCATCATCACGATTACATTTTGTTTAGAGAAAGTTCAATAATTATTGCACATTCCACGTGACGGACGCCTTAGTTACCGACATATAATATGCGAAAAGCTATAATACGAAAAATGAAAGATACAGATAAATAAAAAAATAGAATAACTCATTTGTGTGGTGTATATTTCTATATCGCATTTCAATCAAACCGAGTACATGACAACATATTTCGCCTAATTGATCTAACCGAGCTACATTGGTAGAAACAATGGTCTATGCTAAGCTGCAAATCAAATCCAAGTAATGTTGTTTTTATATTTTGTATTAAGTTAACAGCCAACGTACATCACTGACAAGCAACGGCATAGAATGAGTACGGGACGTATGTTGTAACTTACGCAAACTATTCGATTGCATTCGAGCTGCGTGGTTTATCGTATCTCCGAAGAGGCAGTACTTGAGCATCTTCGACCCGACAACGCCTGCTGCACATGGACCTTTAATAAAATACACATATGGTAATGTGTTGATTATATTGCGTTACGTTATGATGTGTTCATTTTGTATCATGTTATATACTGTTACGTTGCACTAATTACTATCGTACAATATTATGTCATATTAAAAATGTGGAAATTGGTTCACCTGTATGAAGCCCAATCCGTACTTTTAATGTTTCGTTCGGAAGATGAGTAATTCTAAACTGTCGTATTCCACTCATAATATCAAGAGACGCCGAGGCAACTTCCCCGGCATGTCGACGCCCATTTCGTTCTGGTAAACCACTGGCAAGCATATACACGTCCCCTGTCGTTTCTACATTGTACATATCGTACAGCTCTGTCTGCTGGCCTCAAGAATTTGTACATCGCGTTGAGAAAGTTCACAGATTCCGTTGGTGAACTCTTGGCTGCAAGTCGGTTAAAGCCAACTACATCACTGAAGTAAATAGTCACAGCATCGTACGATTCGGCGAGGACAAACTTACTCATTCGCAGTTGCTGGGCGACCGACCTGGGTAGCGTCTGGTACATCATCGAGTTGGTTTTCTGTTTCTCGTTATATAACTCGTATGTTTTCCATTCGAGATTGTGGGCGTAATACTGAAGTGAGGACGTCATTTTACGGACTGTTAGAATGATAATTGGCAAAATAACGACTACAGTGATAACTATTACCAAATCGATAGCAATAGTTTCCCTTACTCTTTTGACGTCATTGTTATATTTTTCGATATTCGTCTTTATAATGTCATCGCGCAATGAATGCAGAATGTCAATAAAAGTAGTAAAGTTCCTATACCATTCATTTCTAATTGTTGTTGTTTCATTGCCATGAACGACTTGTCTAAGCATTGTTTTCATAGCAGTGTCCACTCCCCCGTTAACGAGCAAAAGTTCTTCCCATCGCATTCTTAATTGAGGGGCATTCCTAAACACGATCTCAAGGTGATTATCAGCCATGGCGAGGTTTTCAAGAGCATTCACATAGTCGTCGCTGTGTCTGAATCCACCGAGGGAGGAACATTCCATTCCAAATCCAAACACCGAACTGTAATTTTCTTCTGCACGGATTAACATGTCATAGACAAACAGTGTTTTCCACATACTATCATAGTTGTTTTTATTTATGGATACGGTGATCCCTGACAAAAGCGTGTCTATTAGGTTCGAATAGAAGCCGATTGCATCCTGCGCATAGGCGCCACCAGAAGTATGGTTTCGATGAGCACTTAACAAATTCTTGCAGGTTTCTTTCGAAATTGTCATCGTAGTAAATATGTCTAGTGAAACTGACTTTAATATAGAGTCCGTGTGGTTATACACCGCCTCCAAATCGGTAAAAATACCTGTTTCGTTCGCATGCAGATAGACAATCGTCATAGTCCTCTCTATTTGCACAGCGCTGATTAGATCATCTGAGACGGAACATATTTCTATCTGCTCTTCAATCATTACCAGTTTCCTTTGCTCCGTTGTCATGGCTATAAGCTGCAGTGTGGTCTGAATTAGAAGAAGAGAGATCGGAATAAATACAACTGTTAAAATCTTCACCAAATCGACTTGTTTCCCTCGTTTTCGTTTTGGAAATTCGATTGACTCAGCTCTGGCGCTTGATATTGAAGTAGATTCCATTTCAAGAGCGGGACTTGTCTTTGAATTGCACATTTCCGTCAGTGTTAGCAACACTCAAAACCACCGTTTATATAGATGCGAAATTACGGCGTGTTTACAATTCACGGCAGAACATGGGAAAAAAACTGCTCACGGAAGCGGTGGTAAACAACAAAGTACGTGCCGCTCGATGGCATGTCTCCCTACTGATCAAATTACTGTGATTCACGAGGAAATACTGCTATAGTATGATGGGCTATTAAAATAAATAGATCGTGTTCCGAATTGCTGACGAGAAAACGATGACGACAATGAGGCATTTGTGGATTTTATATGACACTTTTCTTTAAATCGTTTTCTCTCATTAAGCCGAAATTTTACTCCCCGCATTGCATACGTATAAATCACACTCCTAGTTGCCACAAGCAAACAGGAAATCTTCTTCCTTCCTCTTATAAAATAATTGACATTAGAAGTAGCTGACGTGAGTAGAAGATCTGATTTTCTGATAACTGCCCAGTACGTTTAGACAATTATACCCATTATAATTTGTTTGCTTTCAAAAAAAAATACCAAATAGTTTTAATGAATGTAAAGAGCTGTCCCAAACCTATACCATCTTTATCGAATGTAACGTGTTTTGTAGATACTTATTGTGGTTAGCCTCTTAAACATTACTGTATTCCAAAAAATACTGCTACAACCAGTATAAATAAACTTTAATTGTGAATGATTTCATGAGAATAAACCAGTCTTCTATAAATGTTTACGACATATCTAGTTATACTAAACATATTAATACAGGAAGATAATTGAGGGTCGGCAAGGTGTTTTTCGTAAGCTGTAATCGCTTGTTTTATTTTCGTAATAAAGTAATTTAAATAAATAAAAAAAGTAATTACGTCGACATACACAAGGTGTAAAATGTAATCAGCTATTTTATTCTTTCGTGAATTATACACTTACAAAAAATAAGATCTTTGTATAAAGCATTTTCTCCATTAAATATCGTAATTCGTATGAAATTACAAAAATGTGATTCCTCTATTGAAGTCCGGTGTCAGGTCTTACGCCACTAATCAATTTATATACCTTGCAAGAACCAATGAAATTTTTTAAATATTTTTTTTTCTCAGGTGCTCCCTGTTTGAGGGCGTGATTACCTGGATCAAAGGTGAGACCAGTACGTGGTCTTTTGTTTACTACTTAGCGGCTGTGTACCTGTGGGTTTATTCTGTGTGTATTTGGATTTTCTAATCTTGGTGTTTTTTCAGTGATTTCTCTAGGTGCAATCCAAATACAGTTGGTGTGTCTTGTTTAACCTGAGATTTGTAAGAGTTTGAGTTGGACAACATGTTGCATCTTTTTGAATGAATCCTTGCAGTTTTATATATTTATATTTAAATTATTTATACTAATAACTCGTACATTGAAAGTATGGCGTATTTATATTTGTTTGCCAATAACTCTTAAATTTTCCGAGATGATCAGTTCAGAAATCTCATGTACTCGCTTGTCCTTCAAACAATTACATAGTTTAATTTACAGTCTGTATGTTTGATACTGATTTTTAAAAAATTACATTTAAAAATTTATTTTTAAATGTTTACATAAACAGACGCATTTTTGTAAATTAACAAATTTATGTTTTTATTGCTTATGTATGAATATTTTTGAATACATTGACATTACCTTTTGTAATTGTATTAGTTTTTCATACTTTGTATTTCACATTAAATACAAATAAATACACCATACTTGCAAAGAACGCAACGAATTATTATTAGATGAAAGTAAATACGCTGTACTTGTACGGTGCGAGTTATAGGTAAATAAAAATAAATAAAAACTACATGTAAATGCATAAAAATACGCTGTGTTTTCAACGTACGAGCTATTTTTTATTTTCTGTAACCTGTACCAGCTATCCCCCTTGCCCATCCTCATAACTCACTTGAATGATAATTAAAATCCTTTTTACTACTACTACACATTTATGTTGACACTAGAACACATGCTGTCAACACAACGTATTTCAATGTACGGTGAATTATTATAGAGTATAAATCACCTGCCATGCGACAAATACGACGATTCTATATACTCCCATTGTAAATTACAATGTATTTGAATGCGCAGCACAGTGACCGTTCAATATGGCTTAGCTTTCTAATAATTGTGTATGTTTCTATGTTTTTCGTCAGCGTATTTGAGATAACAGCTGAACGGAATCTTCTGAATTTTTGAGAATTTAGTTACATAGCTCGGTGGTCATTTTTAAGTTTAAAAACCTCACTTTCTCGACCAGGCGACTTTCCCAAATATTGGATTATCGAAAAAACTACATGTATTACACCTACATATCTCAATGACTATTCACAAAAGCTCGTTACGATTGGTCACGTGCTTTGACCGCTATCTTGCTTCTCCTTTTCATATCATTAGTGACCTGCAGTATTTAGGTTAATCACATTTAAAATACAAACGTATTTTGTCGACCATTCGGATTACTAGCGGATACTTATTTAGTATTTTCATTTTAAATGCCCAAATGGTTCGGTCCTAGACATTCAAACGCCGAAGGTGTTTGTTGGGAAATGCGAAGCAGTCTGCTGGATTCTAGTTGATATGAATAATTCATAGTTGATGCTGAGTTCACGAAATAAATTATATGCAAATTTATTCTAAATGACCTCCTGAATGCGTTGTTTGTTCACGTTATGAGCACAATAAATACAGTCACGACATGCAAAGACAGGATAAAATGATAAACATCTGCGCGACTATTCATTTGCGTATGAAAGTACCCGGATCTGGTAAGAAATCTTACCAGTGAATTGCAGCACCGAACAGTCGGTCATG